AGGCCCTGACCTCAACTGTATTTTCTTAGAAGCTCATCAATGAGATTTCAGAAAACTATTGAATTAATATTTGATATTTTTATAAAGCCTTATCTTATAAACAGCATAACAGTGTTTAATTGTGACTTTTGGAAATACACACATGTACTATATGCCACAGTTATGTAATCCTGTAATTCTTTTTTTTTCTTTTTTATACTGATAATCTCAGAAAAACAAAAGTGGCCCAGACTCTTGACCTCTCAAACGTCCAGACTAAGATAAACTGGTTTAATTTATGACAACCTTTCCTATGCAGGTAATTTTTCCATTCAGTGACCCCTTTTACTGTCTTTCCCAAACACACCCTGTATTGTCTACCAAATTTCATGCATTAAGTACTAGTTCATTCATGATTTTATTAAATACATGCATACTTTGTCAAGTTTCTGGTAGTCATCGTGTAGTTTTGAGTCATTCAACAAACATTTACTGAGCAACTACACTGTGCCAGACATCATATTAAGTATTGGGGCTAGAAAGATGAATAAAACAAAACTCACAGTCCATTGAAGGGAGCCATACATACAGATGATTGATAAAAATAATTCTAGAGGCACCAGGCAGTGTGAGAAACACATGGAGGGGAAAAAAAAAAAAAGGAAAAAAAGAAGAAGAAAACACACACACACACACAGAGAATGAGCACCTAGGAAGAAATCAGAGAAAATGTCTTCTTGGAGCTGACCCCCAAAGTGAGTGCCTAAAAGATGAGTAGATGTTTGCCAGAAATTACATTTCAGTTAGTTTAAATGGCCTTATTTATGTATGTGATTTCCACAAGACTTTTGAATTATTGTTCCACTAATTGGAAACTTCTCTTTTGTTCCCCTGAGGATCCCAGGAAGTCAGCCATTGTTTTAATGGAGGTGATAATGGCCGGCAGGAGTGAATTTTGGAAAACGGAGAGCTGGGCAAAGAGGAGGGTATGGCCATATTCATCCAAGAAGACGTTCTGTTCAGCCAAGTGTTTTTGGCTGTTTAGCAGCTAGAGCCCCATATAAGCACAAGGTATACCAAATTGCCAGAGCCTTTAGAGACATACATTTCCTTTTCTCTTTTTTTTTTAAACTTTATCATCAACCTATTGATGCTGATTTGGTTTCCCAAGTAGACACTGCTATAAGGGTATGAACTGACCTATGGATTCTATTATTCCAGTTAATTTTGCATTTTTAATGATCCACCTAATTTAATAAATAAGTCCCCTTTATCAGTGTCTCCTGCAGATTTGATTACTATAAATCAGTCCCCAGAAACAGATCATCTTGCTGTGAACTGAAAAAGTTGGGTCTGTGAATTTTCAAGTTGAGGACCACAGTGTGGGTGCAGACTGAAAAACTTGTCTTCTTCATTTTGCTCTTAACTACAAAGTCTCTACTTCTTAAGTCAGAGTGTTCTTGTATTGATCTGATCCAACGTGTGTATCAGCCATATTCTGATGACTCTCAGATTTAAATCACTGGATCTCTCCTCCCAACTTTAGACTCCTATATCAAACACCAGCATCACAAATGGTGGTTCCCCCCAAAATTAAAAACAGAATTACAACATGATCCGGCAATCCCACTTTGGGGAATAGATCCAAATGTACCGAAGGCAGCATCTCAGATGTTTGTACGTTCATTTTCACAGCAGCATTATTCATAACAGCCAAAAGGGGGAAGAAACTCAAATGCCCATCAGTGGATGAGTGGGTAAAGTAAATGTGGCATGTACCTACAAAACAACATTATTCAGCCTTCAAAAGGAAGGAAATTCTGACACCTTGAACCTGGAAGGCATTAGACTAAGTGAAATATGCCAGTCCCGAAAAGACAAATATTATAGGATTTCACTTAGATATCAGTATGAAGTATGAGTAATTAAACTCAGAAACAGAAGTAGAATGGTGGTTGCCTAGGCTGGGGGGAGAAGGAATGGGGAGTTTTTGTTTAATGGGTATACGTTTTGGTTTTTCAAGACGAAAAATTTGTAAAGACTGATTGCACAATAATGTGAATATACTTAACACCACTGAACTGTACACTTAGAAATGGTTAAGATGGTAAATTTTATGTGTATTTTGCCACAATTAAAAATGTTTTTATAAAGAACACACCTCGGGGCGCCTGGGTAGCTGTCAGGCATCTGCCTTCGGCTCAGGTCATGATCCCAGGGTCCTGGGCTCCCTGCTCAGCGGGGAGCCTGCTTCTCCCTCTCCCTCTGCCCCTCACCCTGCTTGTGCTCCCTCTCTCTCAAATAAATAAATAAAATCTTTAAAAAATAAAATTAAATAAATAAAAAGAATACACCTTTTGCTTAATTTGTCTTTTTCTCTTGGTGCTTGGAAATGAGCATTGGTATTGCTAGTTGTTTAGTAAATAGTTGGGTTCACCTCTTAATGTCAAAGGCTTTATGCATGAAAAGGTATCTGTGGAAGGGAAAGAAGTTATGCAGCACACTTATGGGAATATTCTACTGGGGGAAAGAGCATCTTTAAAAGGAATATCTTCCCATTTGCCATACACACAGCAAACACAATGATTATAGAGGCACATTTTGGGAAATTAGCTCAAAGTCAGAATGACATGGGGGTTGTTAACACTGTGATCCCCCTTTTAAATTTTTTTATTTATATATTTTTAAAGATTTATTTATTCATTTGAGAGAGACAGAATGTGTGTGCCCGGATTGGGGGAGGGGAGAGGCTGAGGGAGAGAGAGAATTTCAAGCAGACTCCTGCTGATAGCAGACCCCAGGCGGGGCTCCATCTCATGACCCTGAGATCATGACCTGAGCCCAAATCAAGAGCCGGACATTTAACCAACTAAGCCACCCAGGTGCCCCAAGATCCCCCTTTCTTAATGGACTATCCATCAGGTTTTTAAGATTACTCACGTAGTTTTTGTATTAAGAGTATTTTCATTCTAAAATGGGGAAATACCTCAACAATAATCTAAAGACAGTCCAAATTCGGAGTGACAAGGAATTTAGTGTTGGATGTAAGCCTAGTCATGCTATAGGCAGTGGGCCTTCTCTATAGATAAACCTACTTTGTGTCCAACTTTTCAAGCATTATTTGCTCATCTTATCTCTCTCATTTGTATTCCTCTGCCTAGAAATGGGTATGACAGAGATTTGCCTATATCATTGACCTTTGAAAACAAAATTCTGGAACCTGAGGGAACCATATTAACCCAGTTCTTTTTGGCTCCCTCTTCAAAAGGAAGTTTGGGATTGCCTTCCTGCACTAAAGAAGTTTAGAGAATGTGTCAAGGAATGTGTGTGTGTGTGTGTGTGTGTGTGTGTGTTGATACCCAACAACTGAGTCTACTACTTGGCTGGGCAAAGAATCAATCAATGTCATTTGTGTTGAGTCTCTAAAATGTGTGAAACATTTTTTAATTTCAAAATTATCATATAGAAAGAACAGTAATAAATGGTGGGAATTGTAAGAAAACATAAACACAAATACACAAAAGCAGAGCACAGACTACTTCTAAGTTTTGACTGGTTCTGGAGGCAGGAAAGGAGACCAGATATCAGAATCCAAAAAGCATTTAAGATGGTAGTGACCACTTTAAAATTCTAGCCCTAGCACTGAGGAGGACACAAAAATGTATGATGTCCAGTTTCCTTTATGGAATTTAATCTAGTTGAAGATTTTCCAAGGCCATGAATTATTCAACTTTGTATTGCCATTGGGACAATGGCAAAAACTGGCCACATGGGAAGGACTCGGTGAAGATTTGTTAAATGAATAGATAAATGATTGAGTTTAAAATATGTGATAAATCCCAAACAGGTGTGGTGATGAGTGGAAATGAGTGGTCCAGTGTTTTGGAGTAGAGCCGTCATTCTTATCGTCAGATTTTGAGGCTTAAGAATGTGGACTTTACCCTGAAGATTTATTATCAAGTTATTTAGCAAGGAATGGCAATCCGACACTAGTACACAGAATAAACTGGGGGAGGGGGGGCTTGGTATTGGAGGTAAAAATGTCTTCTAAGAACAAGGAGAAGGGCTATTTTTCTTCCTAAGGAGAATCCATTTGAGAGAAGATGATAAACTTGGGTCCTTGGGTTAGGCATTTGAAGTCTGAAGTGCTGGTGAGAAATACACAGGCCAACTCCAGCAGGCACCAGCTAGACTTAAGCAGAGAGATCCGTTCCGAGTTGAGGTGGACGTTGCAAAGTTCCAGCTGTGAGGGAACAAGGAGATTGTCCACACAAACCCCTTGCACTCCGCGGCTTCATTAGTAAGACAAATGACACTCAGGGATGATGACGATGGTTTCGATGATGGTGATGGTGATGGTGGTGGCAGTGATGGTGATGTAATGGCAGCTGTTTCTTGAGCGTGCCAGGCCTTGAGCTAGGTTCTTTACATACAGAACCCTATCTCACCGCATACTCACAACAGCCCCAAGACGACAAGATAATTTTGTGACTCAAGCCTTTCTCGCTGATCAGGACAGATTTCACCCTCTCTAGAACCTACACGAGAGCACCTTGGGGGAAGTAACCAGTATTCGGGCCCGGGCACAGCTCAGAAACGTGGAGACCCCTCTTTCGGAAGCGCTCCCCTTATTGGAGCAGGAATCCCGAGGGACGCGCGCCGCGGTGAGGGGCAGGGGACCAGGGCCCTCGAAGCACAGCATCAGCCTCCGTAGCGCTCCGCCAGCCCGCGGTAACGGCTCCTCGCTCGCCAGGGGGCGCCTCGGTCCGTCCCAGGCGCTCCCGACCGCGGGCAGGTGACGCGGC